TTTTTTTGATACAGGATCTCACTCTTTCACCCAGGCTGAGCAAGGTGGCGTGATCACAGCTTCCTACAGCCTCAAACTCCCGGGTTCAAGCAATCCTCCCACCTCAGCCTCCTGTATAGCTGGGACCACAGGCATGTGTCACTACGACCGGCTAATTTTATGTTTTACCGCTCTTTGCAGAGCAGGGCTACCCCATAGGCAGCGTGCCTAGAGTGGCCAAACCTAGCTAAGTTTTGATTTGTTTTTCTAGAGACAGGGTCTCGCTAATATTGCCCAGGATGGTCTCAAACTCCTGCATACAAGCAAGCCTCGGCCTCCCAAAGTGCTGAGATTACAGGCGTGAGCCACTGCGCCCAGCTTCTAGTTATCTTTACACAATTATTTGCAACATATATTATTAACTCGAATTGCCTCGATATAAAAAATTACTTTTTTTTCCCCAAAATTCTGTTGCCCAAGCTGGAGTGTAGTGAGGCAATCTCGGCTCACTGCCACCTCCACCTCCCAGGTTCAAGCGATTCTCCTGCCTCAGTCTCCCGAGTAGCTGGGACTACCGGCACGCGCCACCATGCCCGGCTAATTTTTGTGTTTTTAGTAGAGACGGGGTTTCACCATGTTGGCCAGGCTGGTCTCAAATTCCTGACCTCAGGTATCCACCCGCCTCGGCCTCCCAAAGTGCTGGGATTACAGGCGTGAGCCACTGTGCCTGGCCAAAAACGCACTTTTAAAAGGTAAAAAAAAAAAAAAAGTAAGAGGTGCCACGCAAATACGTATCAGTGGTTTTATTATTGTTAGACTCTTTTTTTTTTTCTTTTGAGACGGAGTCTCGCTCTGTCGCCCAGGCTGGGGTGCAGTGGCCTCTCAAAGTGCTGGGATTACAGGCGTGAGCCACCGCGCCCGGTCTATTGTTAGACTCTTAAGCAAGCCTGACTTTTGGGTTTAGCTCTGGCTCCAGCAGAGCAACTCTGGCGGTTGATTCTTTCTCTTCCTTTTTTTTTTTTTTTTTGAGATGGGGTCTGGCTCTGTCGTCAGGCTAGAATGCAGTGGCGCGATCTCTGCTCACTGCAACCTCCGCTTCCCGACTTCAAGCGATTCTCCTGCCTCAGCTTCTGGTGCACGCCACCACACCCGGCTAATTTTTGTATTTTCAATAGAGACGGGGTTTCACCATGTTGACCAGGATGGTCTCGATCTCCTGACCTCGTGATCAGGCCGCCTGGGCATCCCAAACTGTCGGGATTACAGGCGTGAGCCGCCGTGCCCGGCTGGTTCTTTCTCTTCCTAATCTCCTTCTCCCCAAGCATCCACCAGAGGACGCAGCTCCCCCAAAACTTTCCACCCAGTGCTTGGCTGGAGGAACTCAGTCCACGCTTCTCTGCTAGTCTAGGCCCGCGGTTAAGTCAATGCAACCCGAGACCCGGCTGCCCGTTGTCATGGGGACGGAAAGCTATGATGTCACCACCGTCCGGGTGAGTGTGCTGGGGTTCACCCTCCCATTTCCCCAAGACCCCCTGCCAGGACACGGGCGGAGGCGGGAGAGAAAATCTAAAAGCCTGGCTCCTTCCCCTTAGCATCTCTCTCCCGCCGTGTTCAGGAAGTGGATGGCTGCCCCCGCTCTTGTCCGCACTGGTGCACCTGCGTGCACGCGTGGGTACACAGCAGGGCCGAGCTTCGCGCGTGTGCCGCTCACATTAGTGTACCCCTAAGAACTTCGCTTGAACTCTGCCCTGCCCTTATCTCCGAGAAAGTCAAATAAGCCCGGTTCGGCCTGTCCCAAACCGGCAGGGGCACCTCAGCCAACACTGGCGCGCTGGACCCCGGCTCTGGGTCCTCTGTTCCCAGGGCTCCGCCCAGATCTGCTGGGCCCCGCCCCCCGGCTGCGCGGGTGGGAGGCGGGGCCGGGGGGCGCGGCCGCCAGGCTGGGGGCGGGGCGGAGGGGGGGCCGCGGCCCCGGGGCGGGGGCTCGGCGCGGGCCCGCGAGATGCCGGTGTTGGCGGCCCGAGCGGCTGCAGCTGCAGCGGCGGGGGAGGCGGCGGCAGAGGCGGCGGCGGGGCCCGGGAGGGGGGTGGCGTGGGGGACCGGCGCGTAGCCGGGACCATGGAGGGGCAGAGCGGCCGCTGCAAGATCGTGGTGGTGGGAGACGCAGAGTGCGGCAAGACGGCGCTGCTGCAGGTGTTCGCCAAGGACGCCTATCCCGGGGTGAGGGACCTGCGTCTTGGGAGGGGGGCGCTAAGGCTGCTGCGGGATGGGTGACAGGGGCCCTGGGGACGGATAGGAACGGGTACTCGGGTAACCAGGGACAAGATACAGGGGCTCGGAGGACGGGGGGAGGCCTTGAGGGCTCGGGAAGGACTGCAGAGGATTGGGGTGGGAGGAATTAGGGAGCAGGGTGAGATGGATGGGGTTTGGGAGAACCAGAGCATCCGGGAGGGAGGGCGAGGGGAATGTCGGAGGTCCTGGGCAATGGAGAAGGGAAGAACTAGGGGGCTGAAGGGACCAGGAGGAGGTCTGGGAGCCTAGCAGAGATTCTGCGGGGGGCAGGAGCTCCCGGGATCTCCCCTTTGCCCAATCCCAAACCAACTTGTGTCCAGGGGCTGGGCTGGACGGGGTGTGGGAGTGAGGAGGGCATTTATCTGGGGTGAGGACTTGGAGAGAGGATCTCATCTGGATCCATCCGTGTCTGCAGAGTTATGTCCCCACCGTGTTTGAGAACTACACCGCGAGCTTTGAGATCGACAAGCGCCGCATTGAGCTCAACATGTGGGACACTTCAGGTAGCCAAGTCCCTGGGGGTCACCCTGACTTCCAAGGCGGCCCACTCTGTCCCCTCCCTTGGCTAGACCCTTAGGTTCCAGGTCAGCCCAGCCCATCCATCCAATTCCAACAGGAAGGAAAAATCAATTTTCCGCTTAAAGCTAGGGAAACTGAGGCAGAACTTGCTGATCCTGACAGAAACCATGTCCTAAAGGAGAAAGCCTAGGATCTGAGCCCTTCAGCTGGGTTCTGCCTACCTGGGAAAGTTGGGAAGGAATGGCTTTTAATTTGGAACATGTTTCTTCGGAGATAAGACTGAGTTTAGAAAAGACATTCAGAGGCTGGGTGCGGTGGCTCACACCTATAATCCTAGTACTTTGGGAGGCTTGGGTGGGCAGATCACCTGAGGTCAGGAGTTTGAGACCAGCCTGGTCAACATGGTTGAAACCCCGTCTCTACTAAAAATGCAAACATTAGTTGGGCATGTGGCACGTGCCTGTAATCTCGGCTGCGGGGAGGCTGAGGCAAGAGAATCGCTGGAACCTGGGAGAGGGAGGCTGCAGTGAGCCGAGGTCATGCCACTGCATTCCAGCCGGAGCGAAAGAGCAAGACTCCGTCTCAAAAAATAAAAAAAGAGAAAAGACATTTAGAATGTCTTGAGTGAGGAGTGGTCAGGGGGCTGTTTCTCTCCATTGAACTAGAGAAATCTGAGGTCAAGTCCCAGGAGAATGGGAGAGTGCTTTCCTGCCACTGCTGTTTTCCTCCTCCCAACATAAGGAGGGTTTTTATTTATTTTTATTTTATTTTATTTTTGAGACGGAGTCTTGCTCTGTCGCCCAGGCTGGAGTGCAGTGGCCGGATCTCAACTCACTGCAAGCTCCGCTCCCCGGGTTTACGCCATTCTCCTGCCTCAGCCTCCCGAGTAGCTGGGACTACAGGTGCCCGCCACCACGCCTGGCTAGTGTTTTGTATTTTTTAGTAGAGACGGGCTTTCACCGTATTAGCCAGGATGGTCTCGATCTCCCGACCTCGTGATCTGCCCGTCTCGGCCTCCCAAAGTGCTGGGATTACAGGCTTGAGTCACCGCACCCGGCCGGGTTTTTATTTTTACAAGAGTTCCCTTCGGGGCTTTAGACTGCCAAAGCCCAGAAAGCACACGCAACATTTTATGAGAATGACTATAGATTTCATGAGCTTCTCAAAGGGGTCCAAACCTTAGTCAAGAATAAAAATTATTACTTTTTAAACCCCTAGGGAAGCAGAGAGCCGTTTCCCACCATTTGACTCCCCTTCTGCCCACTGCCCCACTTGGGAAACCCAGACTCCATGATGGGTATTAATGATGGGTATTAGTGGTTGCTCTTTTCCATTCTCTGCTCCCAGCATCCCTTGACCAGGATCTGTAAGGTCTCCCATTCCCTTCCAGGCCTCCCATCCACTCAGGCCCCTCATGCTCTCTCTTCCTTCAGGTTCCTCTTACTATGATAATGTCCGGCCTCTGGCCTATCCTGATTCTGATGCTGTGCTCATCTGCTTCGACATTAGCCGACCAGAAACACTGGACAGTGTTCTCAAGAAGGTGGGAGCCTGGGGAAATAGGGCAGCTAGACTGAGACGGACCAGCCACCATGGTCCTGACATAAAATGGGCCAGGAGGAGGGAGTGATAGCTGGGGTATGGCCGTCAGCTGGTTACCGAGTGAAGCTCTCATCCCTGCCACCCCTGCCTCCAGCCCCCATCCCTCCCAGCCACCCGCTTCCTGAAAGTCCTCAGAGCTGGATACAGCAGCTAGGGGAGGTGGGGGAGTGAAGGGAGAAGCACTCACGGGATTCTTTCTCTGCTCTTCCAAGTCCTTGGCAGTGGGAGCCCCAAATGGAGGGGATGGGATGTGAAGGCTGATCCTGGAACTCAGGAAAGCCCTGTGGCCTCCTCTCCAGGCCCCAATTTCCATGAGAAAAGCCAGTGGTGAATGGACAGAAGTCAGCTAGGGCAGCCCCAGTTCCCAGGTCGGGGAGGGGAGGGTGGGATAAATTTGTTCCCAGGAGACAGCATGGGAAAGGCGAGTGGGAATGGGAAGGTTCCAGGCTGGCAGACCCTTCATAGCCACTGAGGGAGAAGAGTCCGCAGGCCCACGCCAGCCCTCTCGTCCCCCCTACTTCTCTCTCACCCCATCCTGCTCTCAACCCAAGCCTAGCATTCTCACCTCTTCCTTGTGTGGGAGAGTTCCGAGGGATAACGTGGTTTCTGCATGCTGTGAGGAAGAGAGGGCACACTGCTGGCATGGCGCAAAGGCTCACCCTGTGCTTCCCTCCACCGCTCCACAATTCTCTTTTCTTCTCCTACATAGTGGCAAGGAGAGACTCAAGAGTTTTGCCCCAATGCCAAGGTTGTGCTGGTTGGCTGTAAACTGGACATGCGGACTGACCTGGCCACACTGAGGGAGCTGTCCAAGCAGAGGCTTATCCCTGTTACACATGAGCAGGTGGGACCCTTGACCTCTGACCTCATCCCAGCCTAGACCTGTCACCTCTGCACCTTCAGTCTCTGATTTGAAAACACCTTACCTGGCTCATCCTTTGTTCTGGCCTGTGACCTCTGACCTGATCCCTTGACTGTCCCCAGCCCTGACATTCAATCCCAGCCCATAGCCTCCGTGCCCCTTTCTAAGCTGCAGGCTAAGACCTATAACTTTCTTCCATGCACTCCTTCCTTTTCCAGGGCACTGTGCTGGCCAAGCAGGTGGGGGCTGTGTCCTACGTTGAGTGCTCCTCCAGGTCCTCTGAGCGCAGCGTCAGGGATGTCTTCCATGTGGCCACAGTGGCCTCCCTTGGCCGTGGCCATAGGCAGCTGCGCCGAACTGACTCACGCCGGGGAATGCAGCGATCCACTCAGCTGTCAGGACGGCCAGACCGGGGGAATGAGGGCGAGATACACAAGGATCGAGCCAAGAGCTGCAACCTCATGTGAGGGGCTAGGAGAGGGCAGAGTGTGAAGAGGGGTGGTGAGGGACACAATTGTTCCCCTGCCTGCGCCCAGGCTTTCTGACCTCCTGAGCCTGGCTGGGAAGTCAGGGCAGGCAGAGCAAGCAATTCTTCTGGGCAGGGGAGCTGGAGGGCAGAAGGATATCATCATTTCTCATCTCCTCCTCCCTCCTCTTCTCCAGTGGATATTGAGGGAGCTAACAGGGCTGGCATCTGGGGCATGAACTGAGATGGGGCAGGTGGGGGTTAGGGAAGCTGATATCAAATAGTGACCTTGGTGGAGTCTCCTATGTGAAGAGTACCCTCCCTCTCCACCCCCAGTCCCCATATCCTGGTTCTGGCCCAAGGAAAATGTCCATTCTACGACCTTCTCTTTTCCTCTCCTCTCACTTCTGCAGCTATTCTCACACACCTAACCTCTAGGCAACATGCACTAAATTCAAAAGCAAGGAGAAGCCCTTCCCCCACCATCAGTCCACCAGCCCTAGAACCTCCCTTGCCTCTACAGTCACCCAATAAAGCCCAAGTCCATGGAAAACGGCTGTGGCTTTAGTTTTGTTGCTTTTAAAAAAAATCAATCTACCAGTCTCTAGCAGTAAGAGGGAAAGTTAGACCTCAGCCGGGGAACTTTCCATGTCCGCAGATAGAACAGAGGACAAAGCCATAGGTTGGATCAGAAGTGTCCTTTTAGGAGTCAGAGTTGGGAGACGGAGACATCTTGGGACTGTTCATCCCAGTTAATAAAGTGGGCAATTCTCAGGCCATTAGGGGATTTTAGAGCAGACTGACATGCAATTAGTCAGCATTTCTCAGCCCAGCCAAGCCTGCTGCTAGTGTGGGAGGGGTCCTGCTCACCATCTGTACCCCTGGCTTGGAGTCTGCTGGTGCCCTGGGGGTTGTGGGGGTGAGAAGGCATCAAAAACCTCCACATCACAGAAGCTACCCCTATACAGCGTGAAGTTTCCTAAGGGGTCAGTAGTTTGATTCTGGGGTCTTAGAGGCTCAGGCCAGGGACCTTTCTCTCCTTCCATGCTGAGTTCCTTGATGACTTTCAGGGAAGCATCAGCTGTTAGAGTTACCCCTACTCTGTCCCTTCAAGGAAAGATGGTGGAAAGGACGGCCGAGCGCCTGTTGTCAGGAAAGACAGTGCTGGTCTGTTTTCTCGGGAGTCTGGTTTCAGATTGTCCTGTATTCCCTCCCTGGCTCTGGTCCCACTGGCCTCTTTTCGGTGACATTCTCCCCCAGGAACCATCCCTGGCCCTTCCCTCCCCCAGCCCCAGCCCTAGCCAGTTCTCCCAGACACACTGGAAGAGAACACTGACCTTACCCAACTGTCTGCTGGGATCCCACCCAAATTTATAGCCCATTCCTCCCTCTTCATTCATTCAGCAAGTATGTATTGAACACCAACTGTGTGCCATACACTGGCTTGGGAGATTGCAAGGACCAGTCTCTAAGCTTCTGGAGGCCAACCCAATGTGGAAGAGAAGTACCCCAGGTGTGAGGGTGCCATGACTGAGGGATATTTGTACATGTACAGGGTGCTATGGGAGCTCCTTGCAGCCTGAGAAGCCAGTCCTGTTAGCCAGGTCCTGAGGGTTGAAGAGGAGTTTGCCAGGCAGGGAAGGGGTAGGAAAGGCACTCTGGGCAGAGGGTACAGCATGTGTAATCACGTGGAGATGAGAACGAGCATAGCACTGTTGGGGCTCCCATGGCAGGAAGAATAGAAGACAAGGCTAGGAAGGTACCCTGAAGCTACTGCAGGGTCCACAGAGGAACCAGGATTTCATTCTGAGGATGAATGAAATCATCCTCAGAGGATGAAGCCACCAGGAATTTCAGGCAGAGAGTGAAGTGATCAGAGTTGTTTTTTGGATAGATGGTTATCTGGATGAGGTATTTGGGGCTGGGAGATTTGGCTCTGAGATGTGTCATTTAAAATAGCTTGTCAGCAGTGACTCACACCTATAATCCCAGCCAAGATTCCTCCTTTGGGAGGCCAAGCTGGGAGGATCGCTTGAGGTCAGGAGTTCGAGACTGCAGTGAGCTATGATCATGCCATTGTCTTCCAGCCTGAGTGTCAGAGTGAGACCCTGTCTCTAAAAGTAAAAATAAAAAAAAATGAAAAATAAAAAATAGCTTCTCTTTTCCCTTATGCCAGGTTCCAGTATTGAGAGACAAGAAATTCCCACCCACCACTCCCTGGCTCATCAGATACCCCTATCCCAACCTCTCCTATGGGACTAGTTCATCTCAGCCCGTCTCAAAGATTCTAGGATAACTTCAATGGCATTTGAAATTATCTAAGTGCCCCTCAAACTGAGACCTGGTTAGGGACTGACTCAAGGACCCTGAGTCCTCGGCTAAGGGTACAGGAGAGGGCAGGGGCTCCAGGCCCAGCTAGGTGGATCTCCATCTGTCTTTGAGGACTGACCCTTTCCCCACAAGGACCTGCCATAAAAATCGACTTGTGATTTTTAGCTGAGTGGCTTCTCTTTTCCACTTTGGACTTCTCAGTGCATAGCAGGTTCAAGCCTGCAATCACCAAAGTGTAGAATGTGGAGTGTTTGTGCCCCCTCTTTCCTCTAACCTCCATCTCCTGCCATGTGAGCTCAGGGAATGCAAACATAATTAGAAAGATCAATCAGCTGGAGGAACCCCCAAAGTTTAATACCTTTTTAATACTACCAGGAATGGATTTTTGGTCCCTTTCTGCAGGTCTGGATTGCCAGATGTTTTGTTTCTGGGGAGGAGGGCTCTGGGCTGAGCAGCTCAGTGGGTGGGAGGAGGGAATGGGACTGTTCCTGATCCTCAAAGGCCTCTGTAGGCTGAAGGGAGGGGACCTTACTCCCTTCCCCACCCCAGATGCAGGAGTCACTCAGCTTTCTTCTCTGCAGCTGTTTCCCTCACAAACGAGACTGGTTTGGGAAACAATGTAGCCTCGTTAAACATTTAATGAAATAAACAACTAATCACACTGTGATGGCTGCCAGTGTTTCTTTGGTTTTTTTTTTTTTTCTTTTTCTTCTTTTTTTTTTTGAGACAGAGTTCTCGCCTTGTCATTCAGGCTGGAGTGCAGTGGCCACCATTCTCAGCTCACCTGCCAACTTCTGCTTACCAGGTTCAGATGATTCTCCTTGCCCTCAGCCTCGGCGAGTAGCTGGGAAACTACAGGTGCGCGACCACCACACGACAGCTAATTTAGGGTTTGCTTTTTTTTTTTGTTTTTTTTTTGTTTTTTTTGAGCGGGAGTGCACTCTTATTGCCAGGCTGGAGTGCACGGGCCGTGATCTCGGCTCACGGCAACCCTTGCCTCCCGGCGTTCAAGCAATTCTCCTGCCTGCAGACCTCCTGAAGTAGCTGGATTACAGGCCATGCGCCACCAGATGCCCAGCTAAGTTTGTAGTTTGTTAGTAGAGGGGGGCGTATTCTCCGTGTTGGTCAGGCTAGTCTTGAACTCCCGGATCTCAGGTGATCCACCCGCCTTGGCCTCCCAAAGTGCTGGGATTACAGGTGTGAGCCACTGTGCTCAGCCATTTTTGTATTTTTAGTAGAGACGGGGTTTCACCATATTGGCCAGGATGGTCTCGATCTCTTGACCTCAGGATCCACCTGCTTGAGTCTCCCAAAGTGCTGGGATTACAGGCGTGAGCCACCGCGCCTGGCCTAATTTTTGTATTTTTAGTAGAGACAGGGTTTCACCATGTCGGCCAGGATGGTCTCAATCTCCTGACCTCGTGATCTGCCCTCCTCGGCCTCCTGAAGTGCTGGGATTACAGGCCTGAGCCACCGCGCCCCGCCCTGGTGTTTCTTAACCTAGGCAATAAGCCTGCCTGGGAGGGAGGAGGGAGAAGGACAGGGTGGATGGGAAGAGAGGACTCAGTCAAACTACTGAAACACTTCAGCTGACAAGGGTCCTCCCCTTGTGACTCTGGCCCTCCCAGGAGGGACAGTCGTGGGAAGAGCTTCAGATTCGGAGGCAGAAGTCCCGGGGCCTGGCTTGAGCTCTGCTGCTTCTTCCCTGGGGAGTCTTTGGTGAGGCTCAGCACCTCTGTGAACCTCAGTTTTTGCACCTAGAAAAGGGGGCGGATCACTACATCTTCCTCATTGTGTTGCTGAGCTGATGTCAACTTTTATTCTTTACAACCAAGACACCAAGGCTTAAGTGCTTCTAAACTGGGCCTGAGGGAGTCGGGAAAGGCTTCTTAGAGGGGTATTTTGTGCTGGGACTGGAAGGCTGGAGGAAGACAGAAGACAGGAAGCAGGAGGTGGTTATGTCTTGTTCCCACACCTATCCTGGGCCTGAAGAGAGCTTTAGTGACTCCTCCAAAGATTGAGGTCCCTTGGTCTCCATTTTTCTGAACTCCTCTTATTACTTTTTCTGCAGTCTCTGGGTGAGGACTTCATGTTGCCATAGTGACCCTCTCCCTGCTTCAGGTGCACTCAGACTTGTCCTGCAGGCTGAGGAAGGTGTGGGGGAAGGGGTCATGTCCCTGAGATGCCCAGTGGGGCAGGCACTCTTGGCACAGCTTTCTCCCCCGACTCCACATTCTCTTCCCCAGGAAAGGGTTTAGCATTTTGTTCTCAGTTTGTTCTACACAAGGCAGCTCCTCTCCTGCTTCCTTCCTTCCAGCCGGGTTCTCAGATCTCCCTCCAGCTCTGTCTGGTCAGTCCCTTACTTGCTGCCCTCAAGGCTGTGAGTGAGGGTCAGAGAGTGGGGAGGCTCCAGGTCAGGAGGTGTGGGATGATTCCTGAGTAGCTACCCCCTAGCAGCCGAGAGACAAGAAAGCCATGTACACTAGTGCCCCTCCCCACAAGAAAATGCCTCTGCTGTTGACTCCTAAATAACAGATGTCTGTCTGCATATTAATGAGATTGGACGAATAATTGGTGAGTTTTTCATTCAGTGTCAGAATGAACCGGGAGGCCTTATGTTCATGCACACAGACACCCACTCACCCCTGACTCTCCCCTTCCCCCACAGCACAATGAAACAGACACAGACGCCGGCAGGCTTGACCCATGAGGGGAGGGGCAGACGGGGAACCACCGGGAGGGGTGTTAGGGAGGGGTGTTAGCAGGAGGGAGACCCCCATGGTTGGTCTGGGTTGGCCAGGTTTCTCTCTTGATCACTGCCTCCCCATCTCCCCGGGGGCAAAAGCTTGCATTTGTGAGATTTCGCCACCCTGCAGAAGGGGCTCAGAGGAGGAGGGGGCTCTGGGGAGAGGCAGTTGCTGCCTAGAGGACAGCAACAAAACAGTGGTCTCCTTCAGCGACTTCGTGCCTCACTTGAGTCTGGAATCAATGAGCCCCTTACCCTGCGTTAGACCCTGTGCCAGGGTGTGAGATGGAAGAACAGAGGTTTTGGAGTCAGGTAACTACAATTTGCTAGCTGGGTGCCCTTGCACAAGTTACTTAACCTCTCTGAGCCTCACCCTTTTTGTCTCTAAGAACACCTACCTTGCAAGATTGAAAGGATGAAATGAGATAAAGTGTGTTATGTGTCTGTCTTAGTGCCTGGTTTATAATAGGCCCCAACACATATTTTTGTCTCCCGACCTATCCCCAAAACAAACCAAGACACTTGCTAAATTGCTGCGTCTCATGCCAGACCCACCTTTGTTAGGGAAGGGGTTAATTAGAAGTCTAGTAATTATCCTAGCTGCCTGGAAACCAAGAGGAAAAGATACAGAGAGGAACAGAAACAGAAAAAGAAATAGACACAGGAGACAGAATGATGGAAACAAAGGCCCCGAGAACAGGAGACCACAGAGATGGGAATGGGAACATGGAGAAGGTATTGTGGGCAAACGAAGTGAACCCTCAAATGACAGTTTAGAATCCAGGCCCGGTGCAGTGGCTCACACCTGTTATCCCAGCTATTCAGGAGGCTGAGGTGGGAGGATCATTTGAACCCAGGAGTTTGAGACCAGCCTGGGCAACATAGGGAAACACTTTCTAGAAAAAATAAATACAAATTAGCTAAGCGTGGTGGCACATACTTATAGTCCTAGCTACTCAGGAGGCTGCGGTGGATGGATCACTTGAACCAGGAGTTCGAAGCTGTAGTGAGCAGTGATCACACCACTGCACTCCAACCTGGGTGACAGAGTGGAACCCCATCTCAAAAAAACCAAACCAAAACAAAACAAAAAAAACAGTCCCAGTGCTGTGGCTCACACCTGTAATCCTAGCACTTTGGGAGGCCAAGGCTGGAGGATCACTTGAGCCCAGGAGTTCGAGACCAATGTGGGCAACACAGTGAGACCTTGTCTCTGTAAAATATTAGCCAGGTGTGGTGGCCCACAGAAAGTTGAGGTGGGGGGATCACTTGAGCCTGGGAGGTAGAGGTTGCAGTGAGCTGAGATTGTGCCACTGTACTACTTCAGCCTGCATGACCGAGCGAGACCTTGTCTCAAAGGAAAAGGATCCAGAGGTTAGAGTCTGAAATGCTTAGGTTTGCCATGTTCTTGCTGTTTGACCACAGCAAGTCTCACCCCCTCTCAGCACCTCAGTCTCTTCTTCTATAAAGTGAAGGGGTGATTTGCTCTCTAAGGTCCCTTCTCATTGTGTGAGAACAAGAGTCCCAGTAGCCTGGGAGCACAGGGGAGGGGACGCGGCTGCCCACCCTTCGACACTATTACCCATTGGTCACTTGTGCTCTGTCTCCTCTCTCCCTTGGTAAATGGATCTGCTGCGCCAGCAAACAACTGTCCATTGTGTCCTAATGAGGGACGAGCAGGGAAAACCAATCACTTATGATGCAAATGAGCCCACGGCTGCAGCCTCCTCACATTCACTGAGTGCTTCTCTTCTGTCCAGAGCCCAGCGCTGCCCCAGTTGGGCCTTTCTCCCTAGCTCCAGTTCCCATCTGGTCCTGGAGGAGGAGTGGGGAGGCCCAGACTGGCCTCCCCATTGTCGTTCATTGCACTCCCTGCAAGGAGTTTCAACCCTCAAATCCTCCGAGCCTGGCCCAGCTCCTCTCCCCACCCCAAAGGTGGCTCAGTTTGATTTTTTTAAAAAATCGATTGAAATTCACATAACATACAATTAGCCATTTTAAAATATACAATTCAGGTGCATTTAGTGCATTCACAATGTTGTGCAACCACCACCTCTGGACTCAGGTTTTATGCCCTCTGCCCATTCGATGCCCTACAGCCTTCAGCGGGACTGGGCAGAGCTGAGGACTAATGGAGGCTGGTGAATAGGCTGAGAAAAGCCCAGAGCTGGCCTGAGGTGAAGAGGTGATCCCCATGCTTTAGGATGACGTTAGAAGGCTTAGGCTTTGGTGGGAGGGGGACGTCACTGCCTTAGCCAGCACAGACCTGTGGCCACATTGTAGAACATTATTTTATTTATTTATTTATTTATTTGACATGGAGTTTTGCTCGTATTGCCTGGGGTGGAGTGTAATGGCATGATCTCAGCTTGCTGCAACCTCCAGCTCCCGGGTTCAAGTGATTCTCTGGCCTCAGCCTCCTGAGTAGCTGGGATTACAGGTGCACGCCACCATGCCTGGCTAACTTTCTATTTTTAGTAGAGACAGGGTTTCACCATGTTGACCAGGCTGGTCTTGAACTTCTGACCTTAGGCAATCGGCCTCCCAAAGTGCTGGGATTACAGGCATGAGCCACTGCGCCCGGCCCCAGAACATTCTTGCATTCTTGAATTTCCTTGGGAATTTTTTTTTCCATCTTAATTTATCAGGCATTAGAAACCAGAAGTGGCTTCTGTACAGATCTTGGTTTCCATAGCTTTCAGAGCTTCTGTGGGCTTGGGGATGATCCCGTCGGCAGGCTTCTCACTTTAGCAGCTGCAGAAGGCCCTGAGACAGCCCCACAGTCCTTTGCCTCCAGGAAAGACCTCCTGCCACCTAGAACCCTAGGAAGAATCCTAGACTTTCTACCTAATGTGTACTAGCTTATTCCAGAGTCATATAGCCTAACAGCTGGGAAGAGCCTCCTAAGTTGAGTTTCTCTT